GGTGTTTTCAACATCTCTCAGACATCCAATCAAGAGAAAACGAAAGAGTGGCTGGGCAATGTTATTGTACCATTAACATAGTACCACTCTTGCCTTTGCAAGACAAGGAAGGATTTCAGTCATCAGGCTAGATCTCTACAAGGAATTTCCTTGCACCAGTGCTGCATGCTTAATGAATGGTCTTTAAGCTTTCTTACGGGAGAGAGAAGACTGATTGCATCCTGCTCGGTCACCTGGACCAGGACATGGGTTGGCTTGGATTGCATCAGGTACTGCTGCATTTTTCCTTCTGGAAGCTTGACTTTCAGGAGCTTCCAGAAGCTATTTGGAGCTTCAGTTCATGAGTATGACGAGTGACTGTTTTCCAGGTAATGGTTTACATTTTCAGAAGGGTTATGTCTATACTTAAAAATAAAATGGACAAACGTCTCTTCTCTGGCCCTAAAGGCAAGTGACAAGACATAGCTTGTGTTTTTAACATCAATTCCTCTACTCTGAAACAGAGTGGCCTGGTTCATTCTGCTTTTGGGGAGCGGTCCCTGGCCTAAGCCTCCCCTGCATTTTGCCTAGGTCCTGTCTAGAGTTCTCATCAGCATGATAAGGGCCAATGAAGTGTTCAGGGATATGTTCACAACTGAGCATTACTCTCCTGGCCTTCTTTAGCTTGCTAGCAATGCTGTAGCAGGAACACTGATACTGCAGCTAGGTGTATTCTGTACCACTGGGAGGCAAACATGGGAGAGAGAAGACTGATTGTATCCTGCTCGGTCACCTGGACCAGGACATGGGTTGGCTTGGATTGCATCAGGAGCCTGCTAGACTATCATCTCTTCAGCAAACTGCTCATGCCAATATGGAATACAATTCTTTGAAAATCGAGTACCAAAGGTGTAATGAGAGAAGACAAAGCACTCTCACATGTTTTCTAGTTTTCTCAATCATGCTCATAATTCCTTTAAGTATACATGGTACAGTCATTAATACTAGCATTACAATCAACATGGTAAGTCTCCAGACTAGAATATTTTTTAATTATAGGTTAGTTCATTTAGTACATGTCCATTTTCCTGTAAATATCATCCTACAATGATGCATCATCTTTATGACTGTAACAGATCTTTATCAAAGTCCTTTTCAGAGAGAAGTAGTATAGTGAATGTCTGCCCCTACCAATGTTCTGTTTAGCACACATGAAGCACAGACTTGCAAAGTAACAGCCTGGTATATACTGCTAATGCAAAGGCCTAATAAAGCCAAGAGAAAAAAAAATTACTTCTTCCATGTTAAAATGCAAGGACCAGAACTGCAGTGTACTTTCTGAGAGAGTTGTGGGCTTTCCAAAGGCTGTTCCCTATGTTCCCTCAACAAAACCTATACAAACCTGATAAATACTTCATCATGAAAGCTAAAATGAAAAGCAATTGTAACACAGCAGCAGAGATTCTGCAGTAAGTCCTCTTCCCTCTCTCTTTGACTAAAACCTGCTTCCCTGACAAGTAGCAGATTTGTGTTAACTTCAGCTGTAGTGTATCTGTCGACACTGTAATATGTGGCACTGAACAACTGCAGTTTAGTCATACTTAGGAAGGCAGTAGTTTAAAATTCAGATTGTAGAAACACATGATGATCATCATTACTCCATTTCTCTCTCTTTCTTAGTACTTGGCAATCTGAAGCTCTGGTATACGATGTCTTTTAGAAGAAACAGGTTGAAACCCTGCACCTTTTTACAGTACAGCTAGAATGACCATCATATATTCTATTGTTTGTGTTTGACTTAATTATTCCTGAGATACTTACAAGTATTGCAGCAGCTTGCACTTAGTTAAATCTTTCCAGTAGCTCACTATTTCCTCGCATATTTTGCGTTGCTAGCTGAGCCTACTCGACATTTGTATTGCCATGTATTGTGTGTATTTGAGCCATATCGAAGTTAGAAATGAAAAGCACTTCATAAATACCCTCTTGTTCCTCTTTATGCACATAAGACTCCTTTCCAAAGATATTTATGAATGATTACCTGGCTTTCACAATACTCCTTTATAGGAGACAGAAGTAGAGAAAATATGCAGAAAGCTATTATCTGTTCATTTGGGGGTGGGACGGTGGGGTGTGGTGTTGGGGTGCTCTCCTCTGGTTGTGATAAATGATAAAAGACAATTTGTACAGTCAGGACCTGGATATGTAATGTGCATCTTGCCTGGCAGGATGCTTAGGTTGGATATCAGAGTATGTACTATGATAACAAACAATGTACTGAGTTTTTTCATTCTAGTTAATGTAATTTTAAAAGTACAAAGGAGTCAGAGTGAATGTTTTTGTATGCAGCAGAACATCCCTTTGGAATGTACTTTCAGTATTTAATTTTATCCTATTTAATGACCATATTTTAGTTGAGCATTTTTAACACCCATGCGCAATTAGTTTCTGACATTTTGTCTAATGTGCTGTTGAGAAGCAGATATAAATCCTGGAAGAAGGGGGAAATGCTGCTAAATTCTGCTTTCATTAAAATGGCTGTAAGCTTTGTCATTCCTTCAAGGAGTCAAGGTTACTTTGTGTTCTTGCAGAGTGCTTCTCTCACATCTGCCCTTGCTGCTTATTTACAATGCCAAAGATGCTTCATCATTTTCCTCCACTTTTTCTGTGCCTTATTAAGATCTCTAACAGTTTCTGTAATACTGTGTTCTAAATTTTACATTGTTTTCCCAAGGGGAAATGGTGACTATAACATAGGTGACCCTCCTGCTCTTGATGGCTCCTAGTACTACCTCCCATGTTGTGTTTTCTTTCATAACTATTCTGCTGTTGCCAGACAAAGTTTGATTCATTTGTCACCCCCATATCAGTTTTCTGATGTGTTGTCCAGTAATTTATGACTGTTTGGAGCTTTGGTACTCATTACAGTGCCCAGTGACCCTCGTGACCCTCCTCCCCATGTGTGCTCTGCCACCTTGGCCCTTGGGCCTGTTTGTTGAAGCCACAAATTGCAGTGCATGTGTCCATAACAAGGCATTTAGGCTGAGAAGCAAGAGCTCTGTTTGACCAACTAATAGGGAGTATCTATAATTTAGGCAACAAGAAGTTGATTGTGCAGATAAACAGATCCCGAGGGTAAGATTCGTACATTGTGTCTGTCTGTAGTAGTGAGGTGTTGCTGATACTGTGATGAGCAAGAGAGAATAGTGTAGGCAGGTATACAGCAGTTTGAGGAGAATATTGTAAATAAAACACTGAATAAGTGGCTTAATTCTAACTCAGTGGAATTTCCCCCAGGTTACCACATTTCACAGGGTGGGGACTTCATCCTGCTGGTGTAAATACCAATTGAATTATACTGCCAAACTGAGCATGGGCTGGTGCCCTGGGCAGTTACTGCTGCTGATATTTGTGAAGGCATGTCAGCAACATGCTTTCTTTGTTCAGTGCTTTTGGTAGTACTAAAAATATTAATTATGAAGATATGTCTTTTCCCTCTCACCTTTCATCTCCTGAGAGTTATATTTAAGACAAAATATTGTGAGCACTGGAAGAAGGTGCAGAATGAGCAGGATGGGAGAAGAGAGTTGTTTCCTTTCTGATGACTTTAATAGTGTGAACCTGTTTATTTTTCAAATTATAATTGATTTTATATTTATTTGCTGTAGCATAGATATTTGGTATACAATTACAGTGCAGGTTATCTAAAAATGTACAGTGCACGTAAAAGACATCAACATGTAACAGCATGTACTAGCTTGTAAAATAAAAGTTGAAAATAAATCTGCAATTAGTTTTTTAGCGACACTTGTTTCTGAAAAAAGAAGGACTGTAACTTCCCAAAAATACGTCCCTTCCTTGATGCAATGTAGAAGGATCCAACATTGTACTTCCTCCTTAGAATTTCTGGGGAAATGCATTTTGCTGCCAACGTAACATGCTTTAACAGGTCTCCTGCTGGTCAGGCCTTGTGTCCTGCTGTGACGGCCATGACCATGTGTGCAACTGATTGTTAGTGGGCGATATAAATCTGATTGGAACATGCCTGTTAATTGGTTTGAGGGCTCAATATAGACAATGCTGTCTTGTAGCAGATTGTGTAGATAGCCCTAGTCATAGGGTTAATTCTGCTTGACAGCACATCAGCAGCATCTTGAGTAATTACCCAACTTAAGTTTTCCCACAGTTGAATTGAGACCTTCAAAGGCTTCTACATTTACAAGTATTATTAACCGATATCTGAAACATGATGTTCCCACAAGGGCTAATTTTTTCTTCCTTTTATTAAATATACAGGTTATAGGGTTCATTTGCTAAGTGCTAAGCCCTTAGAAGAAAACACAACTTGTTAGGAAGAGAAAAATATGCAGTGCACGACCAAAGCTAATGGTGCATAATGCACACATCATTGTCTTTTTGTAAAGACTTTAAAACAAGTTAAAATTTAGGTCTGGCTCCCTTCCTCTCTCCCACCCCCCACTTTCCACTTTTAAGAAAATCAAACCACTTACTCCTATGTGCAGAATGAGTAAATTGAAGACACACACAAACAAAAACCTCCTAGGATGTTGCACAATTAAGTACAGATCGTTGGCTACAATACATATGACATTAATGAAACGGTATCTGCTTCAAAAATAGATTGGAAACATTCATGAATGAATTAAATCCTCCTAATGACTTTTCAAAAATAAAAATTAATTAAAACTATTTAATTTATACAAACAACAGTATGCTATGATTCACAGTGTATAATTTAATCCTGGTTCAAATTTATATTTTTTTCATTTAGTGATTTGTCTTTTAAAATATCTTCTTTGTAATTACAGCATAGAAAACAGTAAAATATTGAAGATTAGTCATTATTTGGATTTAAATGCCTTTAAATGCATTAAGTGTTAATGTACAGAGTTAGACAGTCTGGTTAAAGATGGCATTTGCTGGAGGGATCAGTCTGACAAATGGCTTTTATGGCATAAAGCAGTTCTTGTAACTTATGATCTTTTTATTTTCATTTTCAGGTCAGAAACAAAGTTTGACTCCAATTCAGGTATGTTTACATTTACAGTGTTTTACTGAATGTACACTATTCAGGTTAATCTCAAAAGAGTAGTTTATCAGTTCAAGTTCAGCTTAGTTTTAAACAAACTGGGGTAGGTCAGCCTTAAAAAGGATCTTCATTTCTCACCCTCTGAAAACAGCATTGTTACTGTGAAACATTTGCTTTCATTCCTTTCATTAGTTCCGGTCTCTTTACATTTTCCCAAAAGATGATAGAAAAGATGTATCTTGCAACAGGCTTTAACTGATCCAGAAAAATTATAATACAAATAAATGATAATACAGGCTAAAGCAAATGGAGAATAGAAGTTTGAAAATGATCACTGCAATAGAGCGGAATGTTTTTCTTCCTGGTGGACAAAAACATTTCATGGGAATTTGAAGTCAGTGCAGCCTCTTTGTCAGGAAACAGATGATTTGTCATCAAATTTTCATGACAGATGCAGGTACACAATGCATGCCAGACCAGTGTGTAGAGCTCAGCTGAGGAGGATTACCAAAAGGCAGTCTTTCCAAGATGTCTTTTTAAAGAATTGTAATGTGTTGTAGGGACTGGGAGGGAAGTGAAGGTCAGTCTAACAGGTTAATGTGTATCTAGCAAGACAAAAAAAAACAGGACAGCAAACAGGGGAGCAGTTGGAGGCAAACGCAGATATCCTAATATGAGACTGTTACTTATTCAGTTCACTATTCCTAGGTGTTCCTTAAAGTTAAACTGTAGTAAATTAAGAATAGGCTATCATCCTGAAGCTAGGTGAAATGTCCATTGCCTGAAAAGGTAATTCAAAATACATTTTTTGTTAAGATGAAAAAGTCTGTTTTAAACAGGAAACCTGATACTATTATTGCAATTTTGTTTTAGGCCAATGTTATCTTCTATACAGTTTGCTTAATGCAGTGATTATAATTGTTTATAATGTTATGAATTTTACAATGTATATTAATCAGGTTATTTATGGAATAGCAAGTTTCCTTTTATCCCAGTTCCTTTATCCCAGTGGGCTTGAAATGTGAGGTATTACGTAGCTTTTTATTTCCATATTAGATTTTATCTTTGGAACTAAACGGGAGGGAAATCTACAGCAGGAAGCATTTAAATAGCCAATGCCTACATCTTGGATACTTGCGTCATCTTGCTCCTATTATGACTTTAGTCTGTGAGTTTGAGGTTACTTGCTTTAAATATTTCTTGAATAAACTCTATGCTAAGATTGATTTTTGGATCTTGACAAAACAGAGGGATTGCATGAGGGACAGCTTCACACATTTTCTGCCATTACCCCCCTTATTTTAGTGCAGTCACCAAAACTAGGGTGTGCAGCAGAATAGTCACATGTCTGCTTTTCTGCTGAAGGGAAAGTGCTCTCTGCAGAGCTTCAATTTGCTTGCTGGCTTAAGCTACAAGTATTTTTCCGACTCTCTTTTGAAGCAGTGCTCCTGTTAGGTACACTGTTCTGCCTGCCGCTCCCTTGGCAGTGAAGGCGGGGGCATGGCTTTTCCTAGGGTAGCTGTAAAAGTTTGGCACTATTGCACTGTAGTGTGAGCCAGCTCAGTACATGTCACCAGGCCTTTCTCCTGGGCTCCTGGTCCCATTTGCATCTTTGCCCCAAACACTGTACTTGGAACAGAGAATTACTAAGGTTTAACGCCTTGGTCTCATCAGTGCTGTGTCTCTTGGCACAGGGTACCCTCAGCCAAGGGTAGATGTTAAAACCAAGCAACACCAAGGCTCAAAACCCCCTTATCATTGTGAGAGGTACAGCTGCCTCCTCTTTACAGGGAGAGCACTCATTTCTTCCACCAAGAAGCTGTTTATGACAGTCAGATGGCATAAGGACTCTAAGTTTCTCTTTTGTTCCCAATATGTAAGAGCAGAGGAGAAGTGAAGATACTAGCAACATCTGGTTTTGTTTCCCTACCAAAGAATTTGCTATAACTTTCCCAAACCAGACAATAATCCCAGACCTCCTGCTGAGTGAATGCACCCTGTTCACTCAAGGTGCATGTGCAATGGCATCCTTGTAAAAAACCCTTCTTTTGTGTGTGGGGTTCAGTGCCCTGTGTAGCATCATGTTCTGCATTACACAGGCCTTTGAAAAGGGTCAGTGTAGTGCTGGTTTAAAAAGGGCTGCTGGCATCTGAGTCTGTATTTATGCAACCTCAAGTTTCTTGGAGACACCTTAAGGTATTTTCACATCCCTCATTTCATTTTGAATTCCCTAGACTGTCATTCCTAAGTAAAGTAATGATCCCACAAACTGGAACAAACATGCTTTGTTCTCATTTATCTTATGTTACTCAAAACAGTTCAAGTGTTGAACATGAGAATGAGGTAATTTTATTATAAATACTTTTTTTTTCCCAGGGAGTTGTTCCACAACTATTGCTTGCTCTAAATTAACCCCAGTGTTAATTCCAGCTAACTTGCAAGTCTAGATATGCCCTTAATAAACATTTATCAATGCTTATTATACTTGTCTTTCCTAGAAATATTTGTGAAGCATTGAAGAACTAAAAGAAGTCGTTCTGCAGCAAGTACAAAGTCAGAAATACAGCATTTAAAGTACCCAGTAGGCTCACTGCAAATGTAACCCTGGAAATGTTGTTTAACACTGAAATATTAGACAAATATTGTCAAAAGAAGATTAATTGGAACTTGAGCATTAACTTAAAAGAAGGCTGCAAAATTCCTACGGTGATGATCAGGATTTATCATGCAAATAACTATAACATCTGTAGGGGACACACATTCTTCATATCATGACTAACAGCTCCATCTGAGAAACTTCTTTTTCTCTGCTGGCTCTTTATAAGTCTACAGCTGGCAGAATTTCTGTCTCAGAGACCATGGGGTTAGCTTCATGCTGTTACAAGATCTTATAAATGAAACAATTTTGCTTTCCTGTCATAATATGATGAATTCTACTGGTACTGAAAATAGATTTTTTTTCTAACAAAGTACTTGAAAGCAAAAATGGTTGTAGGAAAAATATTTCTTTTTCCTCACAATTTGTTAGAGAACAAAGTAAACCACAAAAAAGCACAGGTGAAACAATTTTGTTCTTATTATCAGTATTTTGTTAGTGTCTAAAATGCTTATTGTGCTATGTGCTTGGTTAGAAGATTTCAGAATTTAAGAATATAAGAATTATATTGGAATCATTAATGGAATTAATTTGATAAATTATAAATAGATTTTTGCTTTTTTAAAATTTAGAGTAAAATAGGTCTTCAGGGTGCTGTTCTGTAACAGGATAAAACTGTAGGTCTCATAAGCTGTTGCTGAACACTTTAAATCCCACCTTAGTAATAGCAAAAATAAGCTAAGAAAACTGCCTCAGCATGCCCCCTGGTCACCAGGGAATGGTAATGGTGAATTTCCTACTGCCTGCTGGGAGGGCTCGAGTTTTCTTGGGGCATCTCCTGTACTGTTTGCTGCATCCTGCATGTCACTGTGGAGGTGAGATATGATATTCAAGTTAGAATGTTTGCAGTGAAATAACAGGCAAAAAAATTCCATTTTGTTCTGTGTTAAAGAGAAAGGACAAATTCATGGACAATATACAAGGACTCCAGTGGAGTCTTTTTTGTGTATCTGTCACTCAGACCATGGAATACAGTCAGCACAGGGTGCAAGAGGGACAGTCAGGAAAGCACCATGCTGCAGAAACATATCTGTGCACTGAAAAAAAAGAGTGCCCAAGGACCACAGTTCCTTCAGCTGTGTCTATCATCTGCTGTGCCAGCTTCACACTTCTCTGAAAAAAAGAGACGAATCTCCAAAACCTGTTCTTCTGTCTTCCTGCTTCTACATATCAAATGAAATGTAAAGATAATGTAAGTGATTTATGTCACTGTTTGTGTCAATACTTTGTAAACATTACAATTAGTATCAGAAATTAAGATATAATAGCTGCCCATGCACCTAGAGGCTGTCCTGAGGGACAGCTACACATGAGCTTTTGTTGGATTCCTGCTGCCCCAGCAGTCAAATACAAAGCAAGTCCAGGAGCCCCCAAAAGTTCCTGGAATTTCTTTTGCCTCCCTTGTCCGGACTCACAGTGTCAGCCAGTGACTCTGAAGGTCATTTCTTCTCTCTGCACATCACATTTTCCACCAGAATGAGTGTATCCCCATGTCTTCAGCATTGCACAATGTTGCCACCTCTACATCCCCATCAAGGTTCCCATCCTTTCCTTTCTCACCTCTTGTGTTCACTGGCATCTTTCCTTTAATGGCCACTATAATGGACTAACTTGCAAGGCTACATGATTCAGCACAGGTGCTAGAGAACAGATGAACAAAATTATAAGGTTGGAGGTGATCAGTTGTTTTCCTCTCACAAATTCTTCTTGGCTACATTTCCAGATTTTCTGCAACGGGCTTTCCAAATGCTCTGTATCAGCCCTGATTTCCCCTAGCCTGTCATCAGTCCCATTGTATGAAAATCATCAGTACAACTATTAAGAGTATAAGGAATCCTCTGCCCAAGTAAGAGAGAAATGGATACCAAAAGGCATTTTGAAAGTTAATAACTTTCACTGACCTTTACTACCAGGGAAGCACAAAAGAAATATAACTTGCCTGAAACCTTAGGTTGACAAAGCAGTAAGGTACTTAATAAAAACATGCATTGATCTAACTCATCAAAGATTTAAATACAGACTAAGAAATAAGTTCCCAAATTTTACTGATGTCAGCTTCCCCAGGTTTTGTTAGAGCAGTTCTCAATTTCTTCTTAGGAAAGCCAAGTAGTTTCAGAAACTGAGAGGAGAAGTGATATTTGGTGTTCTTAACAAAATCATATTGGCAAGTTCAACAGTCATCCCACAATCAGAGCATTTGATTTAAAAATATTAAAAGATCTCTTGCAGAATATGTAAAAAGTGGCAAAATAAACTGTGATACTGAAGAACAGGGATGCTCCAGGGCTTTTTGGATGAGGTAAATGACTTCTCTTTAAACTAAGAGGAATTATTTCCTTCACTC